CTTTGGTAAATTTAATCCACAAGCTTGCCTGTGGAAAAATCCTTTAGGAAATCAAGCTGTAGATGAAATTAAAAAGATGGGTTTATGAAGGCTCGGTTCACCCAGATTACACACATTCCCTAACTTCTGTTATTTAGCTGTGCAGCGATGTGGTTTTGTTTCTCTTTGGAGTAAACATTTCCTAGTGGGTTTATTATCTCAGGCCCCAGTTTTAAGTCTCACCATGATATTAACTTGGTAAACTGTGGTTTAATTTAGAGTAAAACAGACTATGAAGGTGGGTGTGGTCATTACTGTATGAGTTACTATTATATGAACTTACTTTTTGACCTTTGGTTCTCTTACTCATCATCTGGGGTTTTAAAACCAGAGACCAGTTAAAGCAAACATATTTGAAATGCCCGAGACTTTTTATCAAGCCTACTAATAACTACAAACAGCTATAGTGGTTGAGGAAATGATCCAAACAACATTGCTATCCTTAGGAGTCTAATGACAAAGTATTTCAACAGAAGAAACTGTTTGCACTGATGATTTAACATTACCCAGATAACAACTAGAGCTGTAGAGATACTCAGTAGGTATCTCAGGTCAATGTGAAAAAAAAAATCTAAAGTGGATCTGCATGCTACGATTAAGGATCTGGCTTTTTTTTTTCTTTGCAATATGGATGAACTGACCTTTTCAAAGTTAAGACAGCTAAATGCATGTATGGTGTAAAAAATAACTGTAATACAGTACAAAAAGGCCCTGCTGGAGTTTTGCTCATTACAAGACCACTGTACTCAAGTCTGTCTTTAGTTATTATTGTTTGGAATGGCTGAACTGTTGCATGGCTCTAAGTGTGGAAGGGATTTTTATAACCTTATACACCCACAAAAGCTTTCCACAGTCATATGCACTGCATTATGTTAGTAAAACCAATAAGTTTTCATGCCCGGGTATTAAATACTAGTGTTTTGTCAGGAGCCACCAGCTTCACAGAGATCTACACCTTTGGTTTAACTCCTTAATACAACACAAATGAGGAAGTAAAGGTCCTGTTTTAAAGAGCAACAATATATCAACAAAAGGAAGTGATGGAGGCATACACTGAGGGACTGTAGATAGAATTATCTGGATTTTCTATGATATGCCAACATAAAGACATTTCAGTGTATCTTAATGTGCACCAAGGTATCCAGAGTGAGTCTCACATGTTATGTACCTTTTTTAAACTATTACACTAATACATTTTAACGCCCAAACCAAAGAATATCTTGCACGTATCCCTGTGAGATGCCAGTGATTTCTGATAAAATGTTAGTATGAGACACGGTGATAATGATGATGGCAGGCTGGAAAAACACAAAGTCAAACTCTCTGGTTCTCTGAGTTGCTGACATTCATCTTAACTAACAACAGCTGGTTTGAGGAGTAGCGCCCTTGATGGAACCACCACCCAAGACAAAGCATCACTTTGTCTCGCCCCAACCCCTGCAGAGAGGTTCAGCACTTCCCCGTCCTCTCCTTCTTCTGATTCCTCCCCGTCCTCTGGCTCCCTTCTTACCACCTGCCCCAGACCTCCCAAAGCCCCCAGCCCAAACATAGACGCAGCTGAAAGTCCAAAGCGCAACAGTGGGGAGTCTGAAAGGCTGAGTGATCCCATGCTTCCTCCTCCACCCATGGAAAAGAGCGGTGCCCGGTGGTGGCCTAGAGCTCTGGCATGGCAGAAAGCAGAGAGTGGCAAGGACGTCCCAAGGCCCCCAAGAAGGGCTGCAGCAGCCCCAGGGATGATGACAGGAGTCCCGCCTACAGAGGGCTGTTCAGTGGCACTCTGGTGGGTAGGAAGGCACAGCCCTGTCCCTGACCTACTTGAACTACCCGGCTCTTGGGCAACAAAGTGCCCATGAGCCTTGATGTGCTTGCGTAGGGAGCTGGGGTCTGTGTAGCGCTTCAGGCAGCCTGCCATCTTGCAGTAATAAGGCTTGTCCACGTAGTGGGTGCGAGTGTGCTTGAAGCGGTCACTAGAGTTGGAGTAGCGCTTGCTGCAGCCTTCATAGGGGCAGATGTAAGGCTTTTCCCCTGGAAGAAAAGAGAAACAAACAAATCTGAGTCAGAGACAGAAGGACAAAGGAAGGAGAAATGGAGGGGAAAGAAATTATTTGATTTGAGAACAATGCCAGAGAAGGATGTTGTCAGTTTGTTTCTAACTCTTAAGATTCATGGTGTGTCATTGCTTAACAAGGAAAGGAACAAAGAAGAAAGTGTTATTCCGATGTGACACTTTTTAAAAGAACAAAATAAAATACTGCATAAGAACAAAAGATATAAAATACTTTATTTTTAATGGTCAAATCCCATTATGTTGCCTTTTGTAAGAGCCTCACTGGGACATTCCTTTTTTTTTCAAAAGGTTTAATTTGCTCCTTCTTTACATTATTAGAGTAGTATTTTGAGAGGTGGAGGTGTGTGTGTGTGTGTGTTTGTTGTAGATTTTATTTAAGCAAGTTAAATCGTGTAAATTTGCAATCTCTTTTGCAAGTGTGTACCCAGAAAATAAAGGTAGCAGTAGGATGTTTGTTGAAGGGAGCCGTTTCTCGTGTTTTCAGCAACATGAACATTTTGAACACTTCTCTTACAAACTCTAATTGATAATCAAGATTGTAATGTATGTAAAATTAAACATATGCTTACTGTTAAATCAATGAGATGAAATGAAACCAAACAGAACAATGGACAACAACATCAACATTACATTCACATAGTAATGTGAAACTTCTTCAAACAACTGTCTGAAGGCTCACTTTGACAACCTGTGAGTAGTAAAAAGCATGATCTATTGTTCAGATCTGTTTTTGTTTTGGCTTTTGGGGGGGTCATTCTTCAGTCTTAAGAGCTTGAAAAAAACAATATAACAATAAGTTTATAAGGATGTTTCAACTCTCACCCAAGAGACTTTTTCAGTTCTATAAATACGAGGTGGCAAATCCCAGGTATTTAAACCCCGGTGGGGGTTATCCTCTTTGGAGTTGATGCTGATAGGAGAACCACTGCTGATCATCTGAGTGCTCACATGAGCCAAGGTGTGAAAAAAGATGTGGGTCATTTAAGGGTGAAACAACTATGAGACCTTGCCACACCCTTCATGTAAACTACTGAGGTCACTTGAGGTCAGGTGTGTGTGCGTTAAAGTTCCTGTTTAGGAGTTTTAAATGGTTTGAAAAGAATCAGACTAAGAATACTTTATTAATCCCTACGGAAATTATGGAGGCGTTTAAATCATCTACATAGATTAGATTAGAATAGCTGTTGCTGCCTATACTGTGCTTGAACAATAAAATTGTAATTTGAATGACCATCATTAAACAGTGGTGGTGGGTTATGATACCATCAATCAAGGTCTTAATACTACTATGACCTGGATGGTGAAAACCTGCACAGACGTCTGGGTTTTTCACAATATTTTTAAATGGGAACAAATTTTGTTTCCCATGTGAATTGGTCACAGTCTTGAACTGACCTCTATTTAATTAAAAATCTGATTTGGGCTTTTGGCTGGACAGACAACTCTGTCCCTTATACTAAAGTTACAAAACAGTGTTTGGAGATCATGGCACACCAACAGTACTGGAGCTATTTATAATCGCCTTGAGTTTGAGGGCTCACCTCTACTAAAAAAAAAAGGAACTGAAGGAAAGCAGTCAGCAACCACTGATATTTCCTAATAAGAAGGTTTTTACAAGAAAACATTTTTCCTAGCACTGGCTAAAACTACAGCAGGTAAAACAGGTCTGAGCTACAAGGAAAAGACACTTGTTTTGTGGTTTGATATTGTAGCTAAAATCTAACAAATTTCGGAAATCTATTCAAACAGTTGACGTAATTTCAAAGCACGTACTTGAAAGGTCTCTGGAAAGCATGTCCGTAGAGAGAATGGCTGATAGTTGATAGAAGTGTTTTTGCAAAGTGATGTCTAAGAATGTGAAAGACAGTTTCCAAAATCCATAAAGCTTTCTATGCTCGGCAGCAAACAGCTAACTCAGTTACAGACATTTTCAGCCTCCGGTGGAAGAGACCAGAAAAAAAAGCTAAAAGTGAAATAAAGCTAAAAGCTCAGTTTGCAGTGGTTCTCAAACTTTTCACAATGAGTACCACCTCATAAAATATATGGCTCTTAAAGTACCTCCCTTATGACCGACATTAAAGTACAGTAGTATAGGCCTATTTAACACCACATACAGTTCACATGACGCAATTTTATTTCTTATATGAATGTTATTTATTCAAACTGTCATAAACAGGATGTGACAAGTGATAATAATAACAACTGTACTGCATTAAACATTCACCGCAGGTGGGATGTCCGGTCTTAAGTGATGACATATGAAACCTGCTTCTGGGTCCAAACTACTCTGCGTTTATTAAGGCTGTTGTGTTTTTAACATGTTTCAATGCTTTGTATCTTGTTCTATTTAATCCGAACTAGTCCATTAAAACAGTCAGTGATCACTGTCGGCCTCTCTCGGTGTTTATTACCACTGTTCATTTTAAAATTCAGTTTTTAGAACCTCACGATGTAACTACATCCCAGCTAGCAGCAGTATATTAATGACTAACCTCATATTGCAGTTGTTCTCCTGACTGCAGTTTGGTCCGTTTACAGCATCCTGCCATACGATTGCATTTGTCCCTAACCATCGGGAACCCTCACTTTAACTTTTATGGAGTGGAAAAAAGATAACATTCATCCTCCAGTTTCACTGTGTTTATGTTATGCTAACCAGAGCTGTGTAGCTAGCCACCACATAGCACATCATTACATACCAGCCAGCCCAACTTTAGTAACTCTACAAACATAACTTCTGTTTAGTTTTCATTTATGACAGAAGTGATAGCAGAGTTGTACGTTTTAATTTTTCAGAAATCACTCAGTCAGAACATGCTATATTATCTAGTCTTAAAATATTTTTGGAAACTTCCCACGTACCACTAGAGGGAGCCCATGTACCACGAGTGGTATGCATACCACAGTTTGAGAATGACTGGTTCAAGTCATTGCTGGTTTTGATGGGACTGAACTCACCTGTGTGCGAGCGAGTGTGTATCTTCAGGTTCTCCAGACGTGAGAAGCTCTTGTTACAGGTGGGACAATGGTGTGGCTTCTCATTGGTGTGTGTGCGGATATGAATCAGCATTTTATACCTAGAAATCATAACAAATAAAACACACATTGACAATCAAGATGTGCCGTTTTTATTTTTTCAGCATTTTTACCTAGGATGTGGCTGCTGATATTCAAATGTGTCTTATCTTGGAAGCCTGACATATGATGCTTACATTATATTGAAAAGATCAGGACTCACTCTGATGACCTGTCACACTGGATTCAAAGCTACTATTGCTTGCATGTTTTCATTTCTTTGTTTCTTAACGCTAAAAACCAATAAAAACCCTGAGAACCATAAATTTCACACCCAAGCCTCAATTGTCGTGGCCTGGTACCAAGCGACTCGCAGATGGGTACCGGTCCATGGCCCATGGGTTGGGGACCGCTGTCTTAAGGTATTACTTAGGAAATTACATTGCTTTTAACACCTGTTGCTTAGAGACTGGTATAATTTTTATGAGAAATATGCTTTGTGTCGTCCTCACGACAATGGAATGAAGCCACAGAATACCTTGCATTGAAGCCCCTCCCATTTCGAGCACAGCCTTCCCATTGGCAGCAGTATCCAGAATCCTTTTCAGGCTTGACATGGAAGTCGTTGATGTGATCCACCAGGTCCTGCAGTGAATCGAACAGCAGGTGGCACTGAAGGGCAAAAGAGGGAATGAAGCAGATGGCTGATAAGAAACCTGATTGTGACCTTTTTAGGAAGATTTCACACAAACACTTGATGTTTTTTTCTTCTTATGGCACTGTTTCTTTTTAATTGAAAATGTTTGAACTGTATACCATTAAAGTATACCATTAAAAGCAATCTTTGTCAAAGTATCTACAGTTCCACAGTTCAGTACAGTAGGTGCTATTTCCTAAATTTGTAAACTCTGTAACATATTGTATTATTTAAATAGTTTCGTCTTTTACTGTTACTGTCTTGGAGCAACTGTAACCCACACAATTTCCTTAGGGATTAATAAAGCATTCTGATTCTGATTCAAAGGATTAAAGAGAAAATAAGCCTCTGTCTCTAGAATTTTCAGCATTGTCCCAAGATATGGATTTTATATCTGTAAATTCAATGTAAATTAAAAAATAAAATGAAAAAGCAGAATCATCCTACACAAAACAAACCAATAGTCGATTGTGGCAGAGGCGTGGTCCTTGGCTCAGCTGCAGGGGAGGAGTGGTGCAGTGAGCTCAAGGGGCAGTGCCAGGGAGGTTGGTGGGACACGTGTGTGGTGCTATAGTTAATGAGCTCTCTCTCTTTTCCTGTGTGGTTTTTAGTGAAGCCGGAGCAGAGAGTGGGGAGGTGTGTCAGAGTGTGGCTGGAAGCTGCTCGCGTGGGTGCCAAGCCGGAAAAAAACGACAAAGAGACTGTCAGTAGTGTGTGTGATGGCAATAAAAGGAAAATAAACCCATACAGTGTGTCCATTTGTGGTCCTTCTTCACAGCAATAGTATTTTCTATAAATTTGTATATTTTAAACATTTATTTTAAAAAGTTTCTATTGCACTAAAAATCAGGTAGCATGACAGATGTTTTGTCTAATTAAATTAATATAATGTAGGAGTAGGTCGTGGATAATAGGCATTGATTTGTAAATAACTGGACATAAACTTGAGCTATTATATAATATTACACGAGAGTATCTTTCTAACTAAATAGGCAGCTTGTTATCTTTTGCTTGAGGTTATATCAAGAGGATATAAAACGTTCTGGGGTCTACTTGAAGGAAAGGCAGATGCAAAATTTAAAGTGAGGTCAGAGGTCAAATGTGACATGTGTTTGGATGCAAACTATAATAACATGATACAGGCACGTAAGCGAACACTATCAAAAACATAACCTCCTCGGCAGAGTGAACTGCAGTTTAAATGGCAGGTAATAAGTATGTGTAAGTATAAAAAGATCATTTCATAGCTCGGATAAAGCCATCATAAAAACATACTGTTATAGATGGGTAACTCTAAATCTTTAAAAGGTTTTTTTCCTGTGGAGTCACAACAGTCACAAACCCCATGAATGTGTGACACAAGCTTGAAGTGTGCAAGCTGATCATCACAAAAAATTATTCTTCTTTGCTTCATATTTATGGTTCATCCCATCTTCAAACTTAGTCTTAATTTTTGTCTCAAGTACACAACTATACATTTGTGTGACTTTGATGGCTCTGTGTGTGGTATGAATGTGAGTATTAATGGGTAACTGTGGCTTGGAGTGTAAGAGAGCTATAAAAAAAAACAGGTGAAAACACTCTGAGGAGCACTGCTGCTGCTAGCAAAAAGGGAGATTCTGGCTATTATTAGCCTGACGTGATGATCTGTAGTTACCGTATGTAATAAATTTAAGTGTGACGTACTGAAGAGCATGTCCATTAATCATAGCATCTGTTGTTCTGATATATGAGTTACATTTTGTACAGTTTACCTAATCAAGGTACTTCATTGTTTTTCATTCATTTTTTATACATAATTATTAATCCTTTAGTTCTTAAAATACCAGAATATAATATAGGAAATGGTTGATTTTGACCTTTTAATACACCCAACTATATTTTTTTAAAAACACAAAGTTTCTCTGTTTAAAATTATATAAACAGATGAAAAAGTAAATCACCTTTCACACCAAACTGATTAATTTGTTATTGCTAGATCACACCGCACACCACACTCATTTTTTTATACTGTAACCTCTGATAGCGTTTATCCCCACTGACCTCTTTTTCTGTAACTCTCATCTTTATATATTTTGTTTGCAGCGCCACTTAGTGGTCACAGTAATGTTTGCAGGCTCTTTTTCACCCTCATTGAAGAAACTGCTTGTGCCTGCTATTAAGTGTAGGGTTTGAAGCGCGACACATGATTAATAATATTATCTGCCAAAATAATATGACTCAAGCTTCTGCTAAAATGCATGCAATAAAATATAACTAATATATAAGTATAACTAAACCTATAATATTTAATTTCACGTACCTTCATCCAACGGCAGGCCAACTGAGCATCCATGGAGGGTTCCGGAGAAACCGGCTTCTCTCTAGTCTGACTGATGAACATGGAAGAGGGAAAGCTGTAGCTTCTTGGTGGACTTCTAACTGGGACATAAAATGGGTAGCCCTGTGGTGAAGCACCAGGTTCCACACCTCGGTGAAAAGGTGATTCCTAAAGCAGCGGAGGATAGAGAGAGGTCAGAGCAAGAGAATTTTGTGGCAACAAAGGCAAGATGTTCATTAGCTATTCACAAGAAAAGAAAAATAATTCATTTACTTCACCGTTAACGATGAAGAAAGAAGCAGACTAATACTAAAGCCTGCCACTTTGAGCTTGATCATTAGAAAGATACAACTATCAGAGGAAATGGAGGAAGGTTGTGAAATAATAATGTACTCCCTCTGATCGTGTTTACTTCAAGTGTGTTAAAGTATGATTTAAGAGCTTTTGCATCCATGACATGTATGTTTATTAAATGGGGATTGAAGGTCTGCATTTGTTTTTTGATTTATAATTAGAATACACTTCAGCAAATCCAGTGATGACAATGAAAAATGGCTTGATAATGTAAAAATGAGGACTTTCTCTGCTAAATGATTAATCTGGTCCAAGAAGGGAGATTTTGTGCCGTAAGTAAAGGAGTTGTGTGTTTGATGTTTTCACCATTAAAGCACGGCTAAAATTTGATTTAGACAGAATCACTGCGTGGCTGTGGGCTGTGTGCAAATTAGATTCACTCCCTGGATCACTTTTCTATTCAGTCCTGCTGAAGAAAAATGGAGCGCATTCAGCCACGATCAGTCACCGGTTTGAGAATTCTAAGATTGTGGTCATGCCTGTTCAGAAGATTAAGCGATTACACGGATACGTACACGTACCTGGAGTGTGTGCTTGTAAAACATTTTTATTATTCTTTTTATTCTTGCAATCCTCTTTAAAATGAGTGCAGCACACACCGGCCACGTGTTTGTAATGAACCCCGCTCAGGTTAAGGGAATGTAGCATTCCTGGGTATTTCAAAAACTGGACAAACATTAAAGGAACTGTTTGACATTTTTAGAAACGTGCTCATATGTGTTCATGCTGAGAGACCAGTGTTGGGGAGTAACGGAATACATGTACCGCCGTTACGTATTTAAAATACAAAATATGAGTAACTGTATTCCGTTACAGT